AGTGTGTCGCAGGATACCCTCTAGGTGATAGTTCTTGATAAATAATTCGTTCTTATTGCAAAATAGGAGCACTATTTATCAATCTGTAATAAAAGCCGTGAGGAAATTCTGTCTTTTTTAAAGACAAAAATTTTTGAGGCGAAATACACAAAAAGAAGTTTGTAAAAAATGAATCCGCCTCAACAATATAGAACTTATCTACAATGTAGTATCAAGTTAATTAAGTTAAAATAAAATCCAAAAAGACGTAACTCTTTGAAATGTTATTGCATATTTTATAACATATTTCTTTGAACGGTTTTCTTTATACTGCGTTATAAAAATTATAAATAGGAACAAATTAAAGGCGTCAAAATAGACGAATTCGACAATAGAAGCAAATATGTCTTATCCTTACCATAAAAATGCGATATTCTGCGTTTATGGTTCTAAAACACATTTAAGAATAAAAAAAGCCATTTTGCGAACGGCAATCTAATAGAAGAAAAAAAAATCAAAGAAAATGTAAATGAAGATGAGGAATTACATATCTTATCTGTTCCACAACCTTTGCCTGATAGAAAGTCTTTTAAAGAAAATGTTGATATCTGGATTGGACGAGCTTGGCTTAACCCATGGCCCCCGAATAGTCCCGATTTAATGCCTCTTGATTATGTTATCTGAGGTTCTTTACATATATTCACTGATTTTGTTGCGTGGTTCATTTTTTTATATTAATTTAAAATTTTGAAAATCTGATTAACTGTACTTTTCACCATTTTTTGAAATAACTGCTCTAGGGGGGAGGAAGGTTGTAGACTTATTTGAATAAACTTTTCGTGGTTTTTAGACTCAACTGTTTTCTATTTAACTCCACAATTTCAAGTTTTTACTGGCTTTAGATTCAAAGTTAAGATTTTGTAATTGAGAGTCTGCAGTTGCGTGAGACCGTCCTATTTCGGACCCATATTTGCCAAGCGCGCAAAACTCATGATTTGGAATTCTTTGAATAAGCTTTGGCTCATTTTTAGACTCAAGTGTCTTCTTTATGAAAAAGATTTTTAAATCAAAAGTCTGCAGTTGCGTAAAACCGTCCATTTTCAAACCCATATTTGCTAAGCAAAAATCAGAATTTCTTGCGATTTCAATTAGGATTCCCTGAAATTTAGAATCAAACGTCTTTTATGTGATGTGAAAATATCAAGTTCTTGCTAGCTGTACATTCGAAGTTAGAATTTCTTATTTGAGAGTCTGCACTTGCATGAGACCGACTAATTTCAAACCCACATTTGCTAAGAGCGCAAAAATCAGAATTTGGAGTGATTTCAATAAACTTTTGATCGTTTTTAGGCTCAAGTGCCTGCTATACATATAACGTCGAGATTTCAAATTTCTACTACCGTTTGAATCGAATTTAGAATTTTTTATTTCAGCCTGCACTTTGATGAAACCGATTATTTTCGGACAAACCAACATTTGATAAGGACGCAAACGTCAGAATTTTTACGCTAATAAGACGAACATTTCAGGGATTTTAAATTTAACTGTCGTCTATATAAGTTCGAAATATCAACTTCCTGCTGGCTTTAGATTCGAAATTAGGATTTTTTAATTGAGAGCCTGCAGTTGCGTGAATCCGTCCATTTTTGAACCCATATTTGCTAAGCGCGCAGAAGTCACAATTTCGTGCGATTTCAATTCAGATTTCCGGAATTTTATATTCAACTGTCTTCTATATAATGTAAAAATTGCAAGTTTCTGCTTGTCTTAGATTCGAAGTTAGGATTTTTATTTCAGAGTCTGGACTTTGATTGAGATTGATGAAACCGATTATTTTCGCACTCACATTTGATAAGCGCTCAAAAGTCAGGTTTTGAAGCCATTTGAATAAAATTTTCATCGTTATTAGACTCAACTGTCTTCTATTTTTGACTCCGCAATTTCAAGTTTCTACTGGCTTTAGATTCGAAGTTATGATTTTTAAATTAATAGCCTGCAGTTGCGTAAAACCGGCCATTTTTGGGCCGATGTCTTTTATACTTATGAGGAAACACCCTGTAGGTAAAGGTGGGCAATTCTTCAGTTGAATTCAACAGAAAATGGGATGACAAAATTTCAATGCTAAAACACCCAGAACTGTACTAAATAAGAGCGTCGAAGAAGAAGAGATGGTGTTTGGTTTAACTGAAGAGGAGCTTAGTGAAGAAGCGGCAGGAAGTGAAATTGAAGATCTAGCCGAAGAGTTTATTGACTTCTAGAAAAAATGGTTGAAGGGTTGCAAGAAAAAGGGCGATTTCTAGATAGATAAAAGAGTGGTTGAGCCATGTAGATCAAGGAAGATACCTTAGCTCCGTATAGTTTCCGTTGTGAGTCTATCCAGCGAGCACCCATTCCGAATCCAACTAAACAAAAAAGACCGAAAGCCACCTCGTCGCAGATCTACCCCTGGTAGGCTCGCGCACCACGTTTCGGACGACGCATGGCGTCGTTCTTCAGGGACGCCGACGATGTCCAAGAACTACGGTCGAACGCATGGCCGAACCAGAGGACGCTTTTGACTGTACGGCGACGACGTCGTTGTGTAATCCCGGACAACTGGTCGCTCCTCCAAACGCGGACCGAAGAGAGGGAGAGGAAGAACGGTTCAAAGACCCCACTCGTCGCGCTGAAGAAAATGATGAGCGCCGAAGATGGTCTTCTCGTCTATAATGATGTTGTAATGCTGGAAAACGGAGTTTCTGTTTTGATTTAAAAGGGTCACGACACGAGGGTTCACTCGTAAATAAATCTGTCGGATGCAATAAACACCAGCAATAAAATAAATCTTCTTCAGAGCGCAAGGTTCCGACTGCTTTGAGCGCGTTTTGTCCACCCAGCGCCGTTTCCATTTTTGATTTATTCCTTCTTGCCCGATGGCTGCTTCTGAAGCGCTGGTTTGGATGGTTGAACCTGCACAGTTGCCGCGATTTATCCAGAATATACTTATGGATGAACGCGCAGCAGCATTCGCAAGAAGCCGGGAAGTCTGGCTCGAAACCAGTTCAAGATAGCGCTAGATGGTTTTCATTTTTTTTCGCAGAAATAAATCTATCGGAGTTTGATCTTTTTTCCTTCCTATTCACCGATTTGGAAAAGTTGCATAAGCATCTTGCTGGAAAATCAGTTCTTCGTCAGGAGAGTCTGGCTCTAATGGATTTGGACACCAATGCTGAGGAAATTCTAGATACACACCACACATTTATTTTTTGGGGGTTCTGGCTATGAACCTCCATCAACCAATGCGGAAAATGGAAATTTTTCTTTTGCCCGAAATCGATAATTTTGTCGGTTCACATAACCATTCTAACAGAACGTAACTTCATCGGGAAACACAACATTTTATGCAAAATTATTATCGAGATTGCACATATTTTGCATGCCATGTTGGTAAAACAACCGCATTTGAAAATACAAATTCGAGCTTTTTTCAACGTGCTTAGACTGGGACTTTGGTACTCACCGTGTATGTTTCTTCAGGAACGTTCTTTCAAACAATTTCCGCATTCCGGTGCACTTATCAACAAATCTTTCTCTGCTAATCAAGCCAGATGATTGATATAAAGCGCTCAAAAGTCAGATTTGAATAAACTTTTAAGCGTTTTTGGACTGAAGTGTATGTAACACCAAAATTTCAAGTCTGCAGTTGCGTGAAACCGTCAATTTCCGATAAGAGCGCAAAAGTCACAATTTAATGCAATTCCAATAAGCATTTCACGAATTTCGGATCCTAATGTCTTCTATATTATGTGGAAATTTCACGATCCTGCTGGCTAGAGAATCGAAGTTAGAATTTTTTAATTGAGAGTCTGTAGTTATGCAAAATCATCCACTTTCGAACCCACATTTCCTAAGCGTGCAAAAGTCAGAATTTGGAGCGATTTGTTTAAACTTTTGAGCGTTTTTAGACTCAAGTTTCTTCTATGTAACGCCGAAGTTTCAAGTTTCTACTGGCTTCAGATTCGAAGTTAAGACTTTTTAGTCAAGAGTCTGCACTTGCGTGAAAGCGTCAATTTCCGAGAAGCGCGCMAAAGTCACAATTTCATGCAATTCCAATAAACATTTCACGAATTTCAGATCCTAATGTCTTCTATATTATGTKAAAGTTTTACGATCCTGCTAGCTTGAGATTCAAAGTTAGACTTTTTTAACTGAGAGTCTGCAATTATGTGAAATCATCCACTTTCGAACCCACATTTCCTAAGCGTGCGAAAGTCAGAATTTGGAGCGATTTGTTTAAACTTTTGAACGTTTTTAGACTCAAGTGTCTTCTATGTAACGCCGAAGTGTCAAGTTTCTACTGGCTTCAGATTCGAAGTTTGGACTTTTTAGTCAAGAGTCTGCAGTTGCGTGAATCCGTCAATTTCCGATAAGAGCGCAAAAGTCACAATTTCATGCAATTTCAATAAACATTTCACGAATTTCGGATCCTAATGTCTTCTATATTATGTGGAAATTTCAGGATCCTGCTGGCTTGAGATCGGAAATTAGAATTTTTTAATTGGGAGTCCGCAGTTACGTGAAATCATCCACTTTCGAACCCACATTTCCTAAGCGCGCAAAAGTCAGAATTTGGAGCGATTTGATTAAACATTTGAGCGTTTTTAGTCTCAAGTGTCTTCTATGTAACGCCAAAGTTTCAAGTATCTACTGGCTTCAGATTCGAAGTCAGGACTTTTTAGTCAAGAGTCTGCAGTTGCGTGAAACCGTCAATTTCCGATAAGCGCGCAAAAGTCACAATTTCATACAATTCCAATAAAAATTTCACCAATTTCGGATCCTAATGTCCTCTATATTATGTGGAAATTTCACGATCCTGCTGGTTAGAGAATCGAAGTTAGAATTTTTTAATTGAGAGTCTGCAGTTACGCGAAATCATCCACTTTCGAACCCCCATTTTCACAGCGCAAAGTGTCTTCTATGTAACGCCGATTTCGGTGCATTAATCAACGAATCTTCGTCTGCTAATCAAGCCAGATAATTGCCAGAACGCTTTTGCAGGAATAAGCGTGATTCTGCATTGCACCTTCACTTTTACTTAACCGAAAATAATGCAACAATTACTACTAGTGGCAATTTGCTTTTGGGGAAAATAAAAAATTGTTCAAACGACCGCGTAAAAACGTTGAATATGTATTTCCATTACCGCACATTAAGCTTTATCAATTAATAATTGTCCCTGGGTCATTTATCTTCCATTTCCCCAGTTTCCATGAGTTATTCCGCGAAAAGCGTATTAACAAAGTCATTAAATAAGAATCAAGGCTTCATAAAATGGTTTGAATCAATTTATCATAGACTGATTGTTACGCCGTTGCACTAGAACGAAATAAAAGGAAGAAGATAATGAGTTTTCGAGATTTCTTCACGATAGTGGAAAGAGAACAGATCAGATTTGTAGAGTGAATCTTAACAAGTGAATTGATGGAAAATTCGAGTATTTCCTAAGGTTTGCGAAGATAAAAAAGTTGTGTGAAACGAAAAACCGCGATGTCCGTTTAATGGAAACATGCAGATTAATTTCTGATACAGGATGGCAGCCAGGCAGGCAGGCAGGATCCATTAAAGCTCCTGATAAACAGCTTTCTTCCAATCAACCCTGCACACATTTCCGATCGATCTGGTGCTGGTAAAGCTGATTGCAGGAAATCGATTAACAACATCCATCATTAATCGTCTAAATTGGCTTGTAATTCCTCATCTGTGCGTTTCCTTTAATGTAGTATTTGTAGTATCAGGCGAGTGAACGAACTTTAGCTTCGAGTTTGAGCGCGGAGGAGAACCGGTTGGTTTTATATAAGATCTGAGTACGAATACCCTACACGTACACTGGACACGTGTAAAAAGTTGCGATGAAAAGCGAGAATCCCGTTCCTGGCATCTGCCTTCAGGGAGAAAACGGGATCGGGATGCTTGCTCGATTGCCAAACAGCCCGAAGACGAACGAAATTCGATTCGCTTGTTATACTTTATCAACCCAAAAATTGCATATGCTCAATCGTAACAACTAGAGTTAGTTGCAAAGGTTTTTTTACTAAATAATTAGCGTTTATTAAATGTTTTGAACGGTTGTAACTTCCATCAGTCGGCCTAGAGAAGCCCCGAAACGATTAAAAGTAGCCGAGTAGTCATAGGAACTTTTCCCGAAATTTTATAATATTTTAAAAGCCCAAAGAAAGGGAGCAACTAGTGGGTTTTTCGGGTTTTTAGGCCGTCGTAAAATGGAATTTCTTCCTGACGTTTCACACCACTCGTGCTTGCGAAACGTCAGGAAGAAATTCCATTTTACGACGGCCTAAAAACCCGAAAAAYCCACTAGTTTCAAGCAATGGCCTCGAAAGATTATCTCTTTTGATGAAAGGGCGAAACGTTGAACGATCGTCCAAGTGTAAATGAGCGTTACTTATAAGTAATATTTTATCATCATAATCATTTATCATAATTTATAAATGCAACCAAAATCTAAAGCCAGCAGGAACTTGATATTTTCACATCATATAAAAGACATTTGATTCTAAATTTGACGAAATCCTAATTGAAATCGCAAGAAATTCTGATTTTTGCTTAGCAAATATGGGTTCGAAAATGGACGATTTTTCGCATCCGCGGACTCTCGATTTAAAAATTCTAACTTCAAATCTAAAGTCAGTAGAAACTTGAAATTTCTTTTGTATAGAGAAGACACTTGAGTCTAAAAATGAGCCAAAGCTTATTCAAATAATTCCAAAATATGAGTTTTGCGCGCTTGGCAAATATGGGTCCGAAATAGGATGGTCTCACGCAACTGTAGACTCTCAATTAAAAAATCCTAACTTCGATTCTAAAGTCAGTAAAAACTTGAAATTACGGCGTTAAATAGAAAACAGTTGAGTCCAAAAACCATGAAAAGTTTATTCAAATTGCTTCAAAGCCTGATTTTTGAGCGCTTATCAAATGTGAGTGCGAAAATAATCGGTTTCATCGGACTCAATCAAAGTCCATACTCTGAAATCAAAATCCTAACTTCCAATCTAAGTCAAGCAGAAACTTGCAATTTTTACATTATATAGAAGACGGTTGAATATAAAATTCCGGAGATCTAAATTGAAATCGCACGAAATTGTGACTTTTGCGCGCTTAGCAAATATGGGTTCAAAAATGGACGGACTCACGCAACTGCAGGCTCTCAATAAAAAAATCCTAACTTCGAATCGAAAGCCAGCAGGAAATTGAAATTTCGAACTTATATAGACGACAGTTGAATCTAAAATCTCTGACACGTTCATCCAAATAGCGCAAAATGCTGACGTTTTGCGCGCTTTTCAAATATGGGCCGAAAATAATCGATTTTATCAATCAAGTAAATAATTCGCATAAGGAAATAAAAATTGCCGAATTTGATCTTTTTTCCACAAAACACACCGCTGAACATTAAATAAATTTAGACATTACCTTTGGGACACACTGTATAGGTAATAAATTCAATTCAACTTTAGAGGTTGTTTTCCCCACCACCTCTGAAGGTGTAAGCCACTCGTGCTTGCGAAATGTCAGGAAGAAATTCCATTTTACGACGGCCTAAAAACCCGAAAAACCCACTAGTTTCAAGCAATGGCCTCGAAAG